GCGTGCCACCCACAGTCTGATGGAATGCTTGGGAGATTTAACCAGACCCTTGAGAGGCATTTGGCGAAATTGGTAGACGACAAACAAAAGGATTGGGACAAGTATATACCACTCTTCCTTCTGTCGTACCGAACCGCCGAGCATGAGAGCATAAAAGCTACCCCGGCGTAAGTCAATTACGGTAGAGAACTTCGAATACCGGTAGACCTATTGACAGGAGGGTCACCGGAGGGACCAAAGACCGTACAAGACTATGTCTGCGATTTAAGGAAAAAAATGCGCTATATACACGCCTTGTTTAGGGAAAATGGGTTACAGTCAAGTGAGAACCTGAAAACCAGATACGACCGGAAATCGAACACGGACGGCTTCGAGGAAGGGTCACTGGTGTGGCTGCACAACCCAACTCGTCGGAAAGGGAAATCCCCAAAGTTGCAGACCAAGTGGGACGGTCCATACAAAGTGGTTACCCGACTGAATGATGTGACTTATAGGATTAAAAAGCAACCAAGAGGGACATTCAAAGTGGTACACATAGACCGTCTGGCGCGTTACTATGGCAGCAACGACGATGCTCGGGACGAGCATCTCTAAGAGGGGAGTAGTGTTACGAACACATAAAGAAACTAGCGCCATCTAGCGTCAACCAGTAAACCGCTCAACGAACAAAGACAATCTAAAACCCCCTATTCAATACTAGATGGCGCTAGAGGAACTACTGTGGAACTATAGTCTCGAAAACCGGGTACATTCGCGAACTTTCCAGAATCACGAACATGTTCGTGCGTGTCGGGTACGTTCCAGGAAGGAACTTTCTGGATTAGTCTGGGGCTCGTCTCGGCCCATATAAAAAGCCGCAGGGAGGCGAGCCAGGACAGTTCAGTTTGAGCTACCTTTGAGGCGACTTCGGAGCGAAAACTAGTGATCAAGAGCGATACCAGTGAAACCTACGACTTGGCTACAAAATAGGACATCGTTAGTGCTTAGTGTTTGGACCTAGTGCTTTGTGTTGGACCTAGTGCTTTGTGTTGGACCTAGTGCTATTGAATAAAGTATTCAAAAGAGTCAGCAGGTCTTTCTCTCCAAATCCTTCGAACCCCTAAAACGTAACAGTATGTAAATTCTTTACAATTATTATGAAGGGCCATCTATCTCTCTCGCCCAAGGTTCCATTGAAAACCCATGAAGAATAAATGAATAACCTAAACCATATAAAGCTGAATTTTTATGTTAGTTATTTAGTTAGAATTATTTAAAATCAGATAATTTAATCAATGTTTTCTTCTCACTGCAACACATGGCAATAAAAAAGAAAAGGTCAAAGAATAAATAGTACACTGTTATAATAAATTAAACTACAAGGACAAAATGGTATAGCACTCTATTGCTATCGAAGAATAGAAAATTCTGTAGTTTTCCTCATCACCAATAATAAGTTACCATAATATAAAAGATTTTCTTGAACTATTTCATTTTAAATTTTTATCTATTTGTATTTAGACATTGTACCAAGTTGCTACACTAAAAGTGACATACAATTAACTATTATTAGTATTTAGTTTTTAGTATGTATTGTATTTTATTTTCATTCTTTCTTTGATGAGGTAACAGATCTTGGACTATATAGTGCATGTTCATACATAGCTAGTTGGGCCTGTCTGTGAGGACACAACATACATTAAAATTAAGGTATCTTTTGGGAAGACATAGGGCCAAAACTGTGAAAACCCTATAAAGGTGAAAGATATTTCCACTGTGGTTGGAAAAAGCTACAATTTATTGTATTAAAAAACAGTACCTGGAGGGCCGAGCTTTGCTCGGTTTTTTTTTTGGTAAATCATGTATTTTGGAAATTACATTCAGATACAAAATACTGAGTAATGAAATATGCATAATATTTTTCGATCTTACCGACGTAATAATAAGAAAATAAGAACTGGCGTTTTTCACAAAAGAAATAACTTTAAAAGAAAGGGGAAAGAACAAAATCATTTGGATCGACAAAAATAAAGAAATAAAGAAAGCAATGATCTGGAATCGAAAAAAAAGTAAAAAAATAAGTGTGTAAATGATTGTGACACAAACAAGAATTGCTCGTTTAAAGGATAAGATAAAGCCATTTTGTCAATGTCAATTAAAGAGAAACACAACCTTGCTCATGCAAAAGTAGGTATCTTTTACATAAAGGTACAACCACCCAAATTAGGATTGAATAATGTCTCCCCCGCATGGTTCACTTTGTCAAATCAAGTATATTGTTAGCTTTTACACATAACCTGTTTGTCATTTTCAATTAATAAGAAATCCAACCAATGACCTTGGTTGCGCAAAAGGGTATTAACTTTTACATAAAGACACAACACCCCAAATTGGGATCACTTGATGTCCATGGGTCACTTTGTCAAATAAAGTAGATTGTTAGATTTACACAACCTGTTTGTCGTTTTCAATTAATAAGAAAAACAATGACTTTGCTTATGCAAAAGGGTATGTACTCATTAAAATATAGGGGCGTCCACTCAAATTGGCGTCGATCGATGTCCCTCCCCCTCTAGGATCACTTTGTCAAAAAAAGTTCATAGTTACATTTTACGTATGACCCCTTTTTGTCGATTTCGATTAAAAACATAAACGGCGACCTTGATTATGCAAAAGTGTATTAACTTGGTAACAACAACAAAGTACGGCCATCTTAACTGACATGTTTGACCCTTCTCGCTGTTCCACTTCGTGCTCCGCAATTCGCAAGCTGCGCCTTGGCAACCGAATGTATGCGGCAGTTGGCGTTCATAAAAAACGATCAGTCAACGTTCGAAAAAAGATGTCAGAAAAAAGTTGCCTAATGTGTTTCAGTTTGTTCAACATTCAGTGCTAATTCCAATATATTGGTGTACATAAATGATGTCGTTCAAAAGGGTCTTTTTCATTATCAACCTTCTTTTAGTTAAAATCGTTAAATAAAGCATTACAGAAAAATAAATAAATTGGTATGTTTTTATGTTTTTAATGCATTTTGTAAACATGCATTCTTTTCTATAAGCATTTCAATTAATATGATTGCTTCTATTGCAAAAGTTATTTTTCAATGGCTAATACATAATATGTAATTTGGCTTTCAGTTATTTTTTACATAGGCATATTATAGAATATTAACCAAATAGTATTTAAGCAGTTTATTATATATTATTTAAATGATTTCTAATAATTAAACACATATAGAAATATACACCTTATAATAACATATTATTATATTGTTTATAAGGTAAGTTTAATGGCATGTAGTTTTTTTTAAAAAAATCTGTATCTTATCACAACTGCTTCATGAATGTTATTTTATATATATCTGCATTTAATATTAGTATAATAAAGCCTATTATCATCTATAAGAGGAAGAATAAATATAGTATACAGTGTGCCTTTACAATCGCGACAATAAATGAACACACATATAGGGAACTAATTTTTACGGATAACTTTTTTAAATTGTATTAAACATTTATATTCTTTAAACATCAATATTTACAGAGTTATTAAATTTTCCAAAACAAAGAATTTTAGATCACCCTTACGTATAAAACTTTAACGTAAAGTTCATTTGTAAAGGTCTTTAACGTAAAGTTCATTTGTAAAGGTCACATAGCATATGAATGGGTTGAATGAATTTAAAAGAGACAAAACATACTGTTAGAAGGAGAGGCTTGTAATGCGACGCTGTGGCGTGAGTTGTATAGGATGTTACAAATTTTGTTTCTTTTTAACTTAATTATTTTGTTTGAAAAATATTTTTTTTTATTATGGATATTGTTTAACGTTAATATTTTCTATGATTATTGGCAAGTAGCGTTAGACGTGTGTTCATTTATTGTCGCGATGGTAACGACACGCTGTATATACAGGGAGATTTTTTGAGAAGTGCCCAAATTTACACAGGAGGTTCAGACTCGGTGGTATAATCGTTTATTGAAATAAAAAACAAACTTTAAAAAAAAAAAATGCCATTCTTTTCCCAAAAAACAGAACGTGTAGACAATGCGGTAGTCATTCATAAATACCTAAATTTTACTGTGCACGAACTTGTGTGCGTGTTAGTTATGAATGATCGCGCGTAAAATAAATGAGTTGCGTATACATCATGCTCTTTTTGAGATAAGTTCAAATGAATGTAATTAATTACTTACAAGTGATTTTAAATATTTATCATTTTTTTATATAAAATTATTTTATGTCTAGAATTTAATAAAGACATGGATACACTTAGAAAAGCCACCCTATATATAGATATGATATAAATCAATGTATATAGATATGATACAAATCTACGTTAAAATTTTCTATTGAATCATGACTTAACATTGATTGCACAATAATTAAGTATATTTTCCTATAAACATTACTCCATGTTCTCTATTTAACCTTTTTTCGTGTCTTAAACATTATTATATTGGCTTTAAATCAGTATAAATAGGCTATGATTATATTATAAGCCGACAGGTCTAGTCCTTAGTATAACATATTATGGATACAAGAAAAATGCCAATATTTTAACTGCAAAAATGTCTGAACACTATGAGTAAGTAGTTAATGTTACAATTTTAATTTGGGCTATAATGATGGAGGAACCCAAAATGTGAAATTTTTATCAGATTCTAAGAATAAGTACTTACAGTGGAGATTTTAGTTAAGTGACACTTCACTCACAAAACCACATGGTTTTACTAGAATAAATAATTGAATTGTGACTATGTGTCACCTCTCCTCTCAAATCCAAAGAGTGAAATGCTAATGCAATAAGATAATGATCTATTATATATATTAATGTAAACTAAACTTTCTAAGTACAAGTTTCATGTACTATAATTAATTTTATAAGCAGTAAACACATTGTGACTGTTGATTTAATTAATGTTATTGAATTAGTTAAATCGGTTATTTAGTAATTATATGCATTGCAACATTTTGAATACTGATTTATGGAACAAAGAGATAACGATTCTACTTACCGCGGTGTTCCAAATGGCCCCTGATTTAGACTGCAAGTCTGGGGTTAATCGGACGTAATTTGAAGTAACTATGGTGCTACCTAAGAAGTCCCAATAAGGCAAAGACATTCCACTTCCTGTAATTTAACGAAGCAATTTATTGACAGTGTAAATGAATACAAATTCAATTTAAGATCAAAGTCATTGGACTCTTCTGTACCACTCACCCTGATACGGCTTTGTAAGAGAATGTTCCCTTCTTATGTAGTCCCTCGTATTCCATTCTGCTAATATAGGAGTAAAGAATATAGGTACGAGGAGGAACTTAGTAACTATAAATTCTCCACGAAACATTTTCGTGTTAAATCACATTAAAGCTAGCTATGACAAGACAAACGCCAGATCATGGCATGGCAGCCGCATTTAAAATAAATGTCTCCTTTCATTTTGACAGCTCGTTGTGTTACCATTATTTTATTAATTGTCGAAGAAAACATAAATGATGGTATTTTATTATTGATATTTTTTTTGTGTAACTTTAGTTTGTTTTGTTGTTTGGCGGTCGTTTAGAAGGAAATGGTCTACGGGTAAACGATCTGCGGGCTCGGAGAAATAAAATAGCTGGTGCATGTTGCTGTAAGCCTCGCTGCATATCCGCGGCCCCTTATAACGAAAGATGAATAATTTGACTAACAACAAGGGAGACCCGACAAGACCGCTCTGTAGGAACCTATCTTGAAGCCTTTTTATTACGAGCCATGCTTAATCGCTTACAAAAATTAAATTATGAAAACAATTACGAGTTGTTAATCTTTACATTTAAGTATGAACCTTTTTGTCGATTTCGTGAAAACATAAACGGCGACCTTGGTTATGCAAAAGCATATTAATTGGTAACAACAACAAGGTACGGCCATCTTAAATCTCATTATAATGTAATCACTAAATATTTATTAAAAATTTAATATTTTAAAGTTAAAAATTCTGAAATTAATTACCTATATAAAGAGCGAACGATCGTATGCAGACTGGGTATAGGATAAGAATAAAAACCAATGTAAGCGAACCGATGTGGTTGGTGTATGTAAAGTATAAAAGTGAATAATCGTGTTTAGATATACGCGCGGTGTCGGATTGTTGTTTATTGAAACGTATGGACCTCTCTCCAAGTCATCACGGCTATTTGTTGACGGACGGTGGCAGGAGTGGTGTCAGGGTTGATTGTAATAAATTTAATAATGCGCGCTTTAATTTGCCTTTGATGCACGGTACGACGGCGGTGACTCCGCGTTTTTACCAACGGATTTGAATGAACCTTTCTTAAAGACGGTGCACAAAGTTATGATTTTACGGTTGCGATTAAATTCGGCTTTCCGTTTATACTACGGAGTGCCGATATTTTACGACGAAGGATTCAATTTTGATTTACTTCAATGAATTTAATGCTACTTGCTTAGACTCTTTAGCTGCCTCTCATTTAAGGGGGTCAGGGCCGGAGTGGCATCGGAGGCAGGCAGCTGAAGTAAGTAAGTGGCGCAAATATATCTTTGTTCAGATTATGTATTTGTGCCATTTGCTGTTGAAACTTTTGGCCCGTTGGATCCCCGTACATCAACATTTTTGAAAGTTTTACGTCCTAGAATTAGCATAGCGGCTGGTGACAAGAGAGCTGGTTATTTTCTCGCTTAAAGGTTAAACATAACTATTCAGCGAGGAAATGCAGCTAGCGTTCTTGGCACCATGTCATATGGATTAGGTTTATTAGATAATATATACTTTAGATAGATTTAATGTTGCAAATACTGGATATTTTTTTTTACAAAATGTTAAAAATTTAAAATCATTGGCGAGCATATGTGCGAAACAGACACTAGCATAATAGGATGTATTGTATAGATGAAGGTTGCGTCCTAGTGTTATTTTATTACACCATTACGTTGACTGATTTACCCGACTTTTTTTTTTTTTTTATGGGAAAAAAGCAGCAAACGAGCAGGAGGCTCACCTGATGGTAAGTGATCACCGCCGCCCATGGACATCTGCAACACCCGAGGGCTTACAAATGCGTTGCCGGCCTTTTAGGAATGAGTACGCTCTCTTCTTGAAGGTTCCCAGGATTAGATGATAGATAGACCTGGATTCTTCTTTCTGAGTCATTCACCTTAGTGCAGATTTTAATGGGATACGGATTTTGTTGCGATTGGTGGCATATAGGTCTGTGTCGTGTGTCGAAAGGAAAATCAGTTACACCCTTAGTTCCTTGCGATTTTGAACAGCACAGCAGTAATACATTTGTTTATAAATTTGGCATTATTTAAATCTTTGTAATAATATTTAATTAATTATTCGAAATTTTATGAAAACAAAAAAATTCTTTGAATAAAGGCGGACTTAAGGCCAATGACATTTGCTGCCAGTCAGTAAAGTAGGTTGATTGGCTAAAGGTAGGTGTACTTACAAATGAAATCATAAATAATAAGAGAAATAAATACACAACTACGGCCAACAAATCTATTATAATCAAACAAGTAATCACAACAAAATTAGAGACTAAGAGTACGGTACTTATACAATATAACATAACTTACTAATATATCACTTCAGAAAATAGTAAAAAGTAAAATAACAATATACAATACTTTATATCCCACTACTAGCTTTGGCGATGTGAATTGATATTCTTCACGTAATCCAAAATAGTTTTATTAAATCTTGTCGTTATTTTTATCAGAACGCCTTATTTAGTATAACATTGAACATTTCCGCAAGGATTATTGCCGTCACATTTAAGAAGGCGTATATGTTGTTTTCCTTAATTGAATTTGTTTAACAGAACCGAAACTATAATGGCATAAACAAAGTCATATTACACTTTTATTACATTTTGGATTGTTCATACGTAATTTTTTAACAAGAAAAAAAAAGAGAGTTGTAAGATTAAAGACTTTAGTAAAAGAAAACTTGAGCTTTCATTCATAAGGGGGATTTTGGCACGCCAATTATTACAGACACTTCGCATCTTAAACGCTACTGCTAATTTGCAGGAAGTCGATGGATGCAGGTTGTTCAGTGTAGATTAAAATGATGAAGTTACTAAAATGATGATAACAAGAACATACAGCTTACGTAGATAAACCTAAATAACGAACTGCTGACAAAATCTGTCGGTGCCAAATTACCGATCGGTAATTTCTTAACAGGTATATATAATAATAATTTTAAATATATTAAGTCATATATATATATATATGTATATGGATATACAATAAAATAGACTGTTAGGAGTTATAGCTAGTTGGGACTAATATTAAACGGAATTATTATGTTGAATTTTTCCCATTAATGGAAAACTTCTTTCTCTCCGATTACATTATAAACTATACCTATAGGCTATATAATAAGGGATTTCATTTTATTTCCCTAGCGTCAACAGTCAACGTCCATCGTAGCCACGGTTCGTAGCGAACAGACAGACAGAGAGCCGAGTCTCAACTTTTTAGGGTCCCGTTTAACCCTTTACGGGTACGGAACCCTAAAAACATACCATATAAGATAAACACACAGAAATTAAGGCTTGGCATTCATGGATAATTCTAATGATGCAGCTGTTATCGTGCAATATTATCGAAGCGAGTTTAACACTGGACACAAATTCGCACTGGTTACATTAAATATTTATTTTTATCATAAGCACAAACAACAAACATTGGTTCTACTATTTTTTATGTCAAAAAGATGGCTACGATAATGCATCTGATTGGAAGTAAGTTCCTTAGTTGCCTGTTATCTAAGCTATCGTTTTTCGACTGTAGTTCATTGTTATAAGTTGTTATAAGTTGTTATTGCTCAAATTATTATTAATGTTGAACAAGTAGATAGTTGACCAGATCTTCGCGCCGTGCGGATATCGGCCGCTTAGCTTGTATCGCTAGTGCGTCTGGGCGTTAACCAGAAAACGCAAGGCTTGCTGTTGCTTGACATTGCGAATTTTTTTAAATTATTTTGTTAAATCTTCGCGTGTATAAATTTTGTGTAATGAGTGCAGATAAGCACTAAAATTAATATTAGAATATTGGCTCCTTTTTGAACGGAGGCGGCTTTTAGCAACTGAATTGTTCCGATTAAGAAATTATTGATATACGTAAGGTTATGAATAACCTTCATTATTATAATATTCATAAAATCTCCACGTTAATATAGGATGATCATAAACGATATTAAAATTCAGTTAACTATCTTTTAATTAACGAAAAATAACGACCACAAAATCAATGATGTGATACCATCGGTATTGAGAGAAATTCTGTGCGCCGGGCGACGACAGTTTACACCGCCTTAATTATCCCAATATTACGGTCAGCGCCCGTTTATAAAAAGCTGCAGTGAGCATAAACAAGAGCGGCACATACGTAATTATATCGATACCATCGGATTCATATTTCGCATCGATACCATCGACTACATCATACACAGAGTTACCGCGGCCGGTACGCCACAGACGCCTTCGGTTAAGGGCGCGGCTCACTTTCACCACTTCGGCTGATGGATGTATTCGCTTTCACTCACTTTGCCTGCAATATAGACTGGCGGTAAGGTCAAAGCCGCACTTGTGCGCCAGGTCGTTGACATTTCGAGCTAACTTAACGCTCTTATCTGCCCGGCCGGTGCGCGGCTTTAGTTGCCAGTTTCGGCGCCGAAAGTGATAATTTGGCGCCCGTTTATTTCGCCCCTCGTGTCAAATGTCAAGTCGGAGAGGTACTTTATCCCTCGAAAGCTTGTTTTGATTCTCCCCGAATTACTGTTTCGACATCGTCCGTGAAAACTTTTTCAAATGTCAATTTGGAGGGGTTAGTTTTGTTTTACTCCTGGAAACTTTTGATTTGATGCTGTTACAGTTAATATTTTACAGAATTCAAGTAATCCTTTCTCTTTTTGTTGAAACTAACAAGCGGTTAACGCTGCAAAACATGACTATACGACTGCTCTTTTATATGTGAGTTGTAAAGTGTAGGTGTACATACTTTTGTCATTTACTATGTATTTGTATGTTCGGACGTCTGGAACGAGTCTTAATTAATTTGTATGGTTTGTAGATTCACGACTATGATAATATTGATGGTTATTGATAGCAATACGGTGTTGTCAAGAAAAGACAAGCGGGATAAGGTAGATTTTCGTACGTAATGACGGAATAATCGTAACCCACATTGTATGTGGGTCCTCAAATACTAAGTAGCTCATTCTGAATAATCCATAGTTTAGAGCACTCTAAGTGGATTTGCACAACGAAACGTAATCAAACAGAAGTTCTGATTCCATAACGCCCGCTTCGTATCAATGACCCTTTAGAGGTT